AACAGCTGTCACTGATTATTTTTACTGCAGTGAGTTTGTATCAAAATCGAAAGGATATCCTGTGGCAGTATTACAGGCCAATAAGTTGTCTTACAGTTGTTCGCTGAGGTCTCAGTGAAACATGCCTTCTTCATGACCTTTCTGTATGCAGAAATCAGGAAAGAGCAACAAAAATGAAAATCTTTTAAGTGTGAATATATCCTTAAGTTCATATAGTTGAGAAATAAAATGTCATTCTGTATGGAAAGATATCACTATGGGGGTAAGCAAAGACGGTAACTTCATATTTCTGTGAGCAAGGGTGGGGAAAGCGGTGGAAAATTAACCAATTTGTTTTGAAATACTGCTGTTAAGTTTTAAAGCACTAATTTACCAGAAATACCTAAATCTTGTTCTCTTCTGGATTATGTAAACACTAGTTAAAAGTTAAAGCTTTTTTTTTTTCCCCAATCAAATTTTTCACTATATTTTTTAAAAACATATTTTTTCGAATGCATTACAGTTCAGTCTGTATTCTCATATTTTGGAAGAAAAGGACTTATTAGCTTTAGGATTATAAAATAATTTCTCTTTATTTACAAATTCTTGTTAGCTTATTTGCGAGAAAACTCTCTTTCCGCAGAATAAAGCCTGAGTACCTGAATAACCCTGGAACATGATATCACTTTTAATATCCTCATTGCTATTGCAGTTCAGATTGTCTAGAAAAGAACAGCCAAATCTCTTACTATTTATGGGGTGTTTAAAGACAGTTAAGACAATCTGTTATTTATACCAAAAATCAGGTCAGCTACTGAAAGCCTCTTGGCCTTTTTGTTAAGATTGAACAGAAATTATATCAAGCCTACTTAGAGGTTCTTCAGAGCTATTATAGAGCTCAGGCTTCCTTGGTTGGGAGGAGCTGGGGAGCAGAGTAGTAATTGGTCACGTTTAGGCCATTTTTAATTTGTTCATGATTAGTATCCTTGGCTTGTCCCAGTGCAACGCAATTGTAATTGTGCCACTATGGACATTTGCAAGGAAAGCAGAATTGGTAAAAATAGTGCTCACTGAGCAAAGAAATAGAATGGGCTGCGATTTAGAATACATTTGAGTTATCTCTTTTCAATATATTTTTTTCAATACAGAAGCCTGTTTGTTTGTTTAAATGGAGTCACACTGTAAGCATAATAAGAACAGGTTAATAAATAGGATCTTAGTGCTTCAGCTCCACTATAGCCCTCAGCCCAATGGACAATCTCTGCGGTAGCACAGCTCAATTCCACAAGTGTATGTGTACAGGGACTACAGTAGGGCTAGAGAAAAGCACCTCTCCCTCAAGATTGTCCTAGAGGGTAAAGGGAGCACAGATTTGTCCTTTGGGAGACCTGGTTGTTACCAGCAGGCAGCATGCTACTGCTGTGAGAGAGCAGGTCAGTGAGCTAGTTTGTGCCATGAAATATGTGAAGGTGTTATTGTACAATTGCATTAGTGACCACAGAGCTTAACTTTATAGCTATTGTGCTGCAAGAAATATGTTTTTCAGGAGTGCCTGACAAAATGGGAATTAAACTGATAACTATGATTCAGCTTGGAGTAATCACAAGTGCAAGGCACAGAGATACCTTGTTAGTTCCCGTCTACAAAGCAAAGTAGATTATCATGCCAATTCTTTAATATACCAGGAAAAAAAAAAGCTCAAATCCTGTGACAGATCTAACATTAGGAGTGCGCAAGTATATTTGCCTGGTATTTTAGAATACCAAACCTAAGTATTCCCAAATTAAGCTAGAACTCTTTCAAAATGTTGGATAGGAGAATAAATATCTGTCCATATATGCACCTGCGAACATTATCAGCAGGATAAAGTATAGGGAATTTATAGTTATACATGCTTTGTGTCAAAGAAGGAAAGCTTCCCATAAGCATACCAGCTTCATCCATGCTTGTGATAATGAAGACACAAAAGCAGTTATCAGGGAGTTGCCAGCACAGTCTAAATTTACTCTGTCCTTTTTTTTTTTGTGAGAATTAGTTTTCTCTCTTAATAATCTCAGAAAGTATCATACGCAAACCAACAAATCTAACCAAGGCTATTGTGATTTATAGTAAGGTTATAATATGCAGGTTATAATACATAACTGTTACTTAACCATATCCTGCAATATTCATTGCATTGACCGGGGGGTCAGTGTAAGACATGTCATAGTATGTTTGTGTAAAGTACTAGTACTGAGCTTCCAGCATTCATTGCTATAGGAGGCTCGATTGACAGACAGTTTTAGCACATTCAAAAGGAGATTAGAGAGATTTGTGAGCAAAGGGTCTAAATACTAAATAGATATTGAAAAGAGAGGTACCCTCTAAAATCCCTAATAGGGCAATTTTGAATATGAACAGAGTACAAGAGGAATGGTCAACAGCAAATTGCTGTGTTCACATGCTTTCCCTAAACAACTGCTCCAGATATTGCTGTCAGCAGCGGTGTACTGACGTGGATGCTGGAGCATGCCTCATGTTCTTAACTCACTTTTGCCTAAATAATGAATTGCTTAGACCACAGTGTCTCAGAGCTTCACAGCAGCACAGGCAAAATTTAATTTTGTGGCTATGACAGAATTGCTGCTTTAGGCACCATCCTCCCTGACAATGGTACAATGGAGTGAGCTGTGCCCAGGCAGCGCGACGTGTTGACCATGGGCCAGCTGCCCAGGAATTGCTCCTGTGCTACCACTGAGCCAGCACAGACTGGCTTAATATTAGCAGTTAATTAACAGATTGCCTGACACCGCTCAGACACCCAGAGTATGTGCCTCTCCTCTCTAAGTCATGATTTTTCTGCCACCATCAGTTTGCAGCCATAGCTAACCACTCTGCATAAGACTTCGGCTGATATGCTGAGATGCAATAAGGCTTCCTGAATGATTTATACTGAAGGACCATTTCATCGTTACTTGTTATTCTATCCTTACAATGAAATATAAGTTCCATAAGTTATCATTATATGGAAGTTGCTTTAACATACCTTTTATGAAGGTAGTTGTGTACATTCTAGCAGAAGCCTTTCAGTATTTCAATTCCCAGGGTTATAAATTCACAGTAAACTAGCAAATTGAAAATAATGAGGAGTTTGCTAGAAAACTGAACACATCCACCTTAACAAATCAAAGCAAATCGCACCTTAATGTAGTGACCTGAGGCATCTTTTCTAAAAACAGCAGTCTCAATTTTCCTTGTTTAGATTAGGCAGGAAGGAAGGGCACATGCATGTATGTGGAGAGGAGGCAGGTATTTAGACCACAGCTCCTGAATGTGTAGTTAGGAAGTGTATTATGGTTGGTATTATTATTGTTAGGTATAAATAAGGTATAAATTACACTCATAGTTTTTAATTCTAGCCTTAAAATGTGTGAATTTTGGATTATTCTCTGATTTAAAAAGTTATAGCCTCCGAGAACAGCCTGTCTAGGTAGCCACTTTAGCACTGATTTATCAAGGTGCAATCCAAATCTTGCTAAAATGTGCATAAATCTCTGGTGCTTTTCAGAGAAACATATCATCTTTTACTAGATAAGTAGCATAAATAAGTGAATTTCAGACAACTTAACTTTGTTTAGATAGACTATATAAACTTAAAATCATGTCACTGTAGTCATTAGGACTATATTTTTCTGTGCATTAAGCCACAATTTAGCAAAATATGTCTGTGTAGATATTTATATTTAATTCCTACACTGAAATCTCATTTTATTTAATAGTACCTTGGATGCAGTCCTGTGCCACATGCTCTAGGTGACCCTGCGTGTGCAGGGGGGTTGGATTAGATGATCTCTAGAGGTCCCTTCCAACCTTAAGCATTCTATGATTCTATGATACCTGCTTAAGTTAATCAAACTAAATATTTTATGAGTAAGACTGTATTTTGTTCAATTGCTTACTTGCACAACCAAATACTTTGTTTAATGTTTCCCTACCAAAAATGTGCAAATCTAGAATTGCTGTTGACAGCAATTAGTGACATAAATATGTTCATGAGATATTCAGGAATCAGTAACCCAACTTTTCATTTGTAACCGTGGACCTGTCTTTATGATGTTTTCCCTCATATGAATTTAAAAGTGGATCTTGCAACGTGTAAATAAAGACTGCATACGAGTCATAAATGCTTCCTGATACTGTGAAACAAATACCGTTAAGTCTGGTGCTTCTCGAGCATCTTTGTGAAAGAGTCAACTATCAGTTGCCAATGGGAAGATATGAAGGTATCTGCACGACAGTGGATTCCCCTGTCCTTAACTTGGCTAGGAAGTTGGCTCTGTCAGTGCTTTCCTTTGGCCTGTCTCATGTGAGTTTATGACATGCAAGAGGAGAGGTTTCTCAAAAAGAAAATCCAGAATTTTGAGTCAAATCTTCTCTTGCTTGAGGCAACACACATAACAAGCAGTTATTTGGGGAAGGAGGAAGAACAAGTGGAGAAAGGGATAGGCTGCAACACAAGTCAATGCATCAACAGAAACAAATTTAGACTCTATGTAAGATGTGCTGCTTTGAGATTGATATACCTGATTTGAGAAGCAGACACAGCACATGCACAGGAAACCACTTGCAATCTACCTCAGCCTGCATGATTTCTGATGCTTATCTACCCCACAGGATCATGCTGCTCATCACACAAAGAAAAGCTGTTTCCATATAGCTTGCTGAATGTCCTGCCAAACAGCTTGCCTAGCACTTGTTTTTAATTTAAGGAAGACCTTTTCTTATTCCGTCATTCTATACCATTCTGTTTCCTTTTCTTCTTCTCTTCCTTTTCCTTCCTGTTTCTTCACTTTCTCTGATACTTCTTATCTGGTACTAGGTAGTGAGGTTGTAATTCATCACACCCAGTAACTCAAATGATCAGTGACTATTCTTTGATGGCAGGATATTATTCATAAATTTCTAGTGTTGCAGCTTCTATTGTTTAGATTGCAGTATATGTTTCACAAGTCTGATTAAATATATTGCTTTGGATCTGACAGGCCAGAACCAGTCCTGTGGACGAAGGATGGTGGAGAGCTGCCGGATCCAGAAAGAATGGTTGTCAATGGCAGAGTTCTAAGCATCAGTTTCCTTAATAAAACAGACAACGGCACGTATCGATGCGAAGCAAAAAATCCTATTGGCCGAAACAGCACAGAATATGTCCTGATAGTACATGGTGAGTACCTTCAATTTTGGGGTGCATGGTATGCATAAGTAGCACTTCAAGCAAATACAAGCAAGTGTTTGTGTTGCAGTGAAAGAATAGCCAGAAAAAGCTAAAAATAGCCAGAAAAAGTTGTAATTGCAGTTTTATTGATGCAATGATCTACTTTACCATTTAGTTATGGGGAATATGTTTACTTCCTTTTATTGACATGCCTTTCCTCATTCATTTTTTTTTTTACAAAAAATATATTCTTTTATGTTGCATACTTGCTAAGTAAGCACCTGGAAAAATATTTTGCAATGTATTGGACACTTTCATAAATAATTGCCTTAGGCACCTACTGCTCAGATATAGCTGATTACAGATTATAGCTGATACATGGAGGGAAATAGTGAAATACCTTTTTTGAGGCTTTTTAATAGTCCACTGTAGATAGGCTATCAAGTATTTTTTTTTCAAGCAAGTTATAACCTGCTACTTACTGAGCAACGTCAACTTATAAAAGTTAGCTGATGATCATAAAGATGGCTTGGAATATTTGGCCTAATACTTTAATCAATCCTCAGAAATATGTAGTTACCTAAATTCATAATACTTATAAAAAAAAGGAAAACCAGGACAGTGTACACTGAATTACAATCAATTTTCTGTACTTAATTAATTAGGTGAGAAGATATGTCACATTAAAAGAATAAGGGCATTTATATTAATTTTGAAACAGTTTGATATTACTCAGATAATACAAAATTAGCTAGCATTTGACTTAACCAAAGCACTGATCTATCAGTCTCAAAATAAAATGTTCCCTTATTACAGGTTTGTATGAGATAATTCCTGGAGTTCTATAGTTTGAATTTTGGAGAATTCAGAGATAAAATATTCCATTGTGCTCCTATCTAAATACTATTTTTCTAGCTTTTGTACAAATGCAACATTTTATAACTATGACAAAATAAAATGAAACAATCATCTAAGGCAAGCTGTAGTCTGTGAGTAAAAATGAAAAGCATATAAACTGCTTATAATGACATAAAGTGTAACAAATGTGTATTTCTTTGGTGTTCACAAGCTCTCCACAGCATTTTCTCTAAAGATTTAACTCACCTTTAGGTATTTGGCAGTTAGCTTCTAATAAATGCTACTTTCAACTTTCAGTAATTGGTTATTTTTTGGCACTATTGTTGAACTGTAATTTATCAAAAGAACCCCTTAGATTACTTTTCATTTTCTTAAAGTTCACCATTAGTTTACATAGGATTAGTGGCACAAATAATGAGGAGGTCTTTGCAGGAGGAACACGGAGCCTGTACTGTTGTGTGAGTATTTCTATATTTAAGACAAATACAAAAGCTAAAACCTCTAACCTCTACTTACATTGATTACTATAAAGAAAAAGAATATGAAAAAAAAAAGCTTTTAAACCTCAGAGACAGTGTTGTATTGGTTGTTGGCTGCATGCCCAAAAGACGCTCCTCTTGATGGAGTAATGGCTTTTCATGCTTACCAAATGTTGAAATTTCAGTGGTTTGTGTGCTCTGCCCAATTTATTTATGTGATAATTTTTGAAAACATGGTCTTTTATAATGGTGAATTTTCCCTTAGTGGTGACTTTACAACATGCCCCTACCAAAGAATATTTCATAATCTGCTGTGTGTCTTTCACTTAGTGGCATGTCCCCTGTTGATCTGATTATCTTGCAACAGCTTCATAGCAGTCTGTAAAATCATTCATTTTCAAGAAGCCATTCTGATCTGTCTGGCAGCACATTAAGCATGTTATCAGGTTTAGCTTGAACATTGCTGACCTTTTCTGTTATGAATACTGGAGTTTTTCCTAATTGCATTTCTGCAATTCTAGTGTTAGAACTACAGAAGATAAATGTCAGGTGCTTCCTAGATTTCCATAACAATAAGAAAGGTGTGACAGAGTGTGTGATGATGTTTAGTGCTTAATAACTAACAGCATTTCAGAATTGCTGTTAAGATTTTTAAGTACAAAAAAGATTGACACAGTTACTTTATCAACTGTAAAACAATTAGTTATGTAGATCAATTTAGGCAGCCTCTTATCCCTTCTGTAGTTCATTGTATTCACATGCATAGTAAATTATTATCACTCTTTCTCCTCTCTCCTTTTTTTTTCTAGCAAAACTGTTTTTCACCATTTCCTGAAGATGCCTTCCTCCATTTTATAGAAGACATTGTTCTATATATTCCTAAATATATTTGGCAGAATTACTTGATTTCTCATTACTTCTCCTGTGCCTAATGTATTGTTATTATTTTATTGACTTATTCCTTTGTAAAACAGTTTTTACAGTTGGACTTCATGATCTTGAAGGTCTTTTCCAATCATAATGATTTCATGATTCAATTCTATGATTCTGTCATTCTACATATCCTTTAAGCATATCCTTTTTACCTTGAATCTTAGACCTCCAGTACGGGCATGTGCCAGATTTCACATAAGGGGAGAAGCATTCATAAAGATGTGAGAGAAGAGAGGGGGGTCCATGAGGGAGTCTTCACAGAGATTCCTTTGAATTGCAGGTCAAGGAAATAAGGTTTACAAAAGGTGAACTAAAAAAACTATAAGGAGTGAGGCATAAGTGCTCTGGCTGCTAGTAGACCCTTAGCTGAGTCGCTGGAAGTTCAGCTTCACAAATGTCAAGCAAATAATAATTCCTCCAGGAAGCTCCTGAGCCCTGAGAAGCTGTAGTGACAGAGAGAAAGAATAGTACATGCCCAAGTTGAGAGGGAGACTATGCTTATATTTCTTCCAGGTGAGCTTATATGGAAAGGCAGGTGGAAATGAAAGGTATCTGCTATCTACAGAGGCAAGGGAATGCAGTTTAGTTCACAACTTGTCCTTTTTCTTCCATTTTGAGATTTCCTCTACATTTTCCTCCTCCATTCTGGCCTTATTTTGGCAGGTTTTCAACCGTAGAAGCTCTATGGTGCTTCTGTTCCCTTTACCTGTGTAACAACTGACTTTTAATGCACTTTGTCAACTAATTTGCACCATCTCCAAAGTTACCTTCCTAAATTAAAAAAAGATTTAGTCGGCTTTAGGATAGAGTGAATCATGCCTAAAAATGGAAAGAGGTAGTCTATCATAATTAGAGATTAAGTGTAAGCAAAGTATTTATACAAAATTAATTATATAAACAAATCAAGGAGTGTCAAATGCCTTTAACTGGGTCAACCTAGACATAAGATGATGCAGAAAAAAATGGTGATTTTTCCCATTTTAAGTGAAGATGAAGTATTTTGATGTTAGGTGGTGGCAGATGAAATAAATACAGCTATAAGCAGATGAATGACAATCTGTCTAATGTATTTACTATTTGATAACATAAAAAGTCTTTTTAGATTTGTAGTGTAATTAAAGAAATTTGACTTCAGAGAAAGTGAATATATTTAAATTAGGTAAAAACATCAGCTATTAAATGTGCCCATGCTGCTTTGCTGCATCAATACAGCTACTACTTTTATTTTTTTAGCATTTATTATTAATAACAAATGTCAAGGAAACACTTCATGAAGCAGGAAGGTGGGCACAAAGTCAGAGTTTATAGGCAGTAGTACAAAGGCAAGACATGTAGTTTGCTCAGGCATTAGTCTGATGCAGTAATGAAGGCACAAGCTTTAATGCCTGTAGCTGTTGTCATTTCTGTATTCTAATTGGCGAGCTCAGTGCTTAGAAGTGCACATTCCAGCTAGATATATTACACCTTTTCTTTGGTAATGGGCTCCAGGCAATTTTCTCTCTCTTTCAATTTATTAGGAATTTTTGTTTACCTTTGTCCAAATACTAGTCATTAATCATCAGCAAACAGAGCTTACTGTCAGATTCATGATGCTCAACCCAAGAACATAGATTCTACTTGCAAAGCTTAGTTAATAAGTGCATTGATTTAGCTGCAGTTGAGAAAGGAGCTGGTCCATCATAATCACACTAAAGACACAGCTGTTATGTATATAGCTGTAGTTCATAACCTCTGGCTGTCACTGTGGAACATCATCATGTTCAGGAGTTGACATAACATGGGATATCCTATTCTAATTGGAAGCAGCAGCATTTTGTAATTTGCAGACCTCTCTGAAAGAAAGTAATTTTTGAAAGCAAATTTTTAAAAATATTTGCCAATCTAAAGCCATGTATTCAATTAATTGAAACAGAGCTATAATGTGTCAAGTGTCAATTATCTACTAAAGCAATCTGGAAGTGAACATGAATTGGACCCTGTTCATAGTTAAGGCAGTTCATACTACCAGAATTGTATATACAGTAAGAAGAGATTGAGCCAGTAATTCAGTATCTCAGGAGAATAAAAGATAGTTTAACATTTTTCTTTTATGTCAACCTCTCAAATATTTTGTATTTTTCTTGAACAGACTACTCTTTTGCAAACAAAAGCTGCTACGTCTTACTTAAATTATATGCTCATTAGTAATTGATAATGTATTTTTAAATACAAGATCCCTTCCGAACTTATCAGACCAGGATTCCCTCTGTGGCTTCTGAGGCTTTTGAACCATAGTGTATCTATCTTTCATGTGCTTGTGCAGTCTCTTTTCAAAAATATTTATTGCCTCAGTTTTCACTGTAACTGGAACAAGAAGTTTCTGAATTGAATTACCTGCTTTGAGGAATTACCTGCTTGTTTGTTTGTTAAAGCTTCTGCCTCATCTTTTCACTTCTCAACTTTCCAATCCATTTGGCCTCTGTTACTCTAAGTTTTGTGCTGTAACTACTGAAAAGCCCACTGTGGTGACTGCTCAGTTTGGTGTCTGATGGTGTCCATCATTTCATTCCTCTCACCATCACTTCCATAACTTCTCTCACATCCCAGTACGTCTCCTGTTACAGAGTCTCTCACTTAGCCGCTGACTTGTGTCCTCTGCTAAGTCCCAGAGCTGGTCTTATCATTCTGATGTTCTCGCCTGCACCTGGGTTTTGCCTCTTTCCAGTCTGATTGCTGCACTGTAGTTAGTCACTTGTATTT